AGCATCGGCCATCAGGTGTTAAATAAAAACAACGCAGGTTTAATTCAAACTTGTTCATTTGATAACTCAAGAGCAAATGTTATTAGCTGTAGCAGCTGTTCAGTTTGCACACACTCGCCTTCTCTTAGCAAATCTCCCCCTGCAGCTGTAATGAAGCAAACATACTCATGCGTTAGGGATGTTAAATCGCCAACAACTAGTGAAATGTGAATCAGGGAATTCCCTGTTTAAAAAATGTATATAGAAGAAGTACTGCAGATATTATAATAATTAATATAGGGGACGTATTATAGTAACATAATGAAAAAGCAATTAGGGAGAACAGATTATCTTTATATATACAGTTAAAGTCAGAATTGTTTTAATTTATTTTGAATCACTTTTACATTTTTAAATATTTCCCAAATAATGTTTAACAGAGCAAAGAAATTTATAACAGTATCTCTGATAATGTTTTTTCTTCTGGAGAAAGTCTTATTTGTTTTATTTTGACTAGAATAAAAACGTTTTAAGGTCAATATTATAAGCCCCTTTAAACTATATATTTTTTCAATAGTCTACAGAACAAACCATCGTTTTACAATAACCTGCCTAATTACCCTAACCTGCCTAGTTAACCTAACTAACACTTTAAGCTGTGTAGAAGTGTCTTGAAAAATATCTAGTCAAATATTATTTATTGTCATCATGGCAAATATAATAAAGAAAAAAAAAAGAAATCAGTTATTAGAGATGAGTTAATTAAAGTATTATGAGTTATAAAAGTATTATATACTTTTTTTTTTTTTTTTTTTTACAATCTAAATATAAAATAATAATCTATGCCCACCTAATATTTTATATTGTTGAAGTCAGAATTATTAGCCCCCCTAAATTATTAGACCGCATGTTTATTTTTTCCCCAATTTCTGTTTAACCGAGAGTAGATCTTTTTAGCACATTTCTAAACATAATAGTTTTAATAACTCATTTCTAATAAGCGATTTATTTTATCTTTACCATGATGTCTGTAAATAATAATTGACTAGATATTTTTCAAGTCACTTCTATACAGCTTAAAGTGTCATTTAAAGGCTTAACTAGGTTAATTAAGTTAACTAGGCAGGTTAGGGGAATAAAGCAAGTTATTGTATAACAATGGTTTGTTCTGTAGACTATCGAGAAGAAATATAGCTAATATATATAATGCAGAAACTTTTACATTTTTTGTTCTGACCAAACAGACCAAGACAACCAACTAAACTACAAGTGTCCCAAGTACACATGATGCGAGATGCCATAAGATCTATCTTTTCTGTGTTAAAATCATCATCTTTTTGTCCTATCATCTGTGATTTTCTATTTTACAAACAGTTTTTTTTTTTTATTTCTGTGATGCATACAACATACAACAGCGTAAACTACTATAACAATGATCTCTTCAGGTACTGATTATGTGCTTTATTCGGTATTCGGTGTTGCTTCCGTTGTATGTTTGAATACCTTTTACATATCATTTATAACCATACTGAAAGCACCAGCGGATAGTTTACCGCAAATCTTGAAAATGAAATAACTAGCAAACAATACCAACTAACAAATAACAGTCACTAAGCATGTACTTTCAATAATGTTAATGAGATTCAACATTTATTAATTAGCTTATAAACCTGTCTATTGGGTATGGAATCTATTCAGCGCTTCTGCTATTTCAATGTTTCTGTCAGACAAATTGCTTATCATTGAAATCTTGTCACATGGCTTATTGTTAAGACACGGTGTAAGATCTGCATTCTTCCAGAAGCCAAGAATGATTTAGATTCGGAGGAGTTGTTTTGAAGGCTTTTCTCTGTAATGATGGACTGTGTCTGTCAGTGGGTTGTGTTTTGTGGTAAGTGACTCTTTCTGGGTTTCTCACTTCGTCGAGAGCGTGACGGATGTGGATTGAGGAGACTGAACACAGATCAGACTCTCAGATGACCTGATCGTGAAGGGCTGATGGTGTCTTTCTCCTCTGTAACACTCTCTCAGCAGTTGCAGGAACAGCGGCTCGGCTCGCTGCCCGTCTGGATGCCCTCCATACACTGTCCTCCCAGATCAGCCAATCAGAGCTGGAGAGCAGCCAGATCTGTGTGTTTGCATTTGTGTGCTTGTTTCTATATCTCTGCGGGGACTTAAACCGGAATGCACACAGACTTGTGGGGACTTTTTGACAAAGTTAAGGTCCCCATAGATAAACATGCTTATAAATCATACTGAAGTATTTAGTAAAATTCTGATTGTTTCCTGTTAAGGTTGGGGGAGAGGTATAGAAGGTCGCTTGTGTTCCTTTGGGTTTTCTCCAGGTGCTCCGGTATCCCCCACAGTCCAAAGACATGCGCTGTAGGGGATTAGGGTGGACTAAACTGGATTTTAGTGTACGAGTGTGTGTGTGTGTGTGAATGCAGGAATGTATGGGTGTTTCCCAGTACTGGGTTGCGGGACTTTTTTTGGTCTCCATGAGGAAAATGGCTCATAATTCACACAGAATTAAGTATTTTGAAAATGTTAAAATGCAGATTTTTTCCCCCCTGTGCATTAGCTTATTAGCTTACAGTCAGTGTTTAATTTGTGAATTGCTAGGTCCCGGAAAAGGCGACGAAAAAAGAGACAAAAGTGAAGAGGGTTGGGGAGTCGCGGAAGAAAATGAAAGTGAACACGGGGGAGGAGGGCTTTGAGGAGGGGGATCGGTAAAATGAGGTGCCGGATTAGATTTCAGAGGTTCCGGATCCAGCGTGTTCTAGCACAAATTAAGGCCTGCTTACAGTGTAATGTTTGATACTTCCGCTTAATGCTTGATACTTTGACAGTTGCGTTCGTTCCTATTGGTTCCAATTTGAACCGCATTGGTAACACTTTATAATAACTACACACTATAAATCATTTATTAAGCATTAGCAAATAGTGAATTCATTATCTGTTAATTATTAACTCTACATTAATAAGTGCTAGTAAGCAGTTTATAACTGCAGCTACAAATGCTCCATTCTTGACTTATAAGCACCTATATAATGTGCTTAATAATTGTATTTTCATACTCAGTTAATGATATATTTTTCATTACTAAATTAAGTATTGCATTATTTACAAACTGTTTGTATTTAAGAGTAGTTGAGTTTTTTTAGGATCATTCAGAATGAGTTAGTAAATGATTAATAAACTATTGAAATCAACATTTATATGTCTTATTATTCAGGCATATATTAATGTTTACTATGTATGTTAGTAAATGCTTTATTAACTCAACTTCATGCAGTTTTGTGACCTAATCTGAAGTGAGGACTACTCATGCTTTATAAATCCTTTATAAATGACAAATAAAGGCTCGGTTAAATTCTAAACAGGAAAAAAAGACATTATTCATTTCTCTTGATTTACAGATACACAAATGAAACTGTGCTTCAAAAGAAAAATAAATCTTTGCAAGCTTATCTAAAATAAAATCATTGTAGAGTTTAAACATTGCATCTTATTATAGTTAAATTATTATATTGTTGTTGTTTTATCCAGTTGGATGTCATATTTTGACACTCCTGTTATTCAGCAATGTTTAAACTTTACAGTAATTTTACTTTTTAGAAAGATTGCATAGATTATTGTTCATTTGATTCTGAGCCTTTAATAGTCGTTTATAAGGGATTTATAAAGCATGAGTAGTCCTCACTTTAGATTAGGTCACAAAACTGCATGAAGTTGAGTTAATAAAGCATTTATTACCATATTAATTAACTATTAGTATATGCCTGAATAATAAGACATAAATGTTGATTTCAATAGTTTATTAATCATTTACTAACTCATTCTGAATGGTCCTGAAAACCCTCAACTACTCTTAAATACAACTGCTTTGTAAATAATGCGATAGTTAATTTAGTAATGAAAAATAAATCATTAACTAAGTATGAAAATACAATTATTAAGCACATTATATAGGTGCTTATAAGTCAAGAATGGAGCATTTGTAGCTGCAGTTATAAACTGCTTACTAACACTTATTAATGTAGAGTTAATGCTTAACAGATAATAAATTCACTATTTGCTAATGCTTAATAAATGATTAATAGTGTGTAGTTATTATAAAGTGTTACCACTGCATTACCTAGTTTTGCCACTACATATAGCACCTTTTAACCCTTTTTTAGAAGATGTAAAATAATGTTTTATAACTCTTTGAAACTGACCCTTTTAGGCGTTGAGTCTAATTTTAAACGTTTTGGTGACTGTCGCTTTAAATTCAAATGAGATTGTGCTATTTTCAAAATTGGGCGGAGCTACAAGTGCTTGTGTGTCAGCATAGTGGTAGATTCATATCAGGACTAACGTCTATGCTAATGAGGGAGAGATTGTCACTGGTGGGCAAAACCCCCCCTCACCCCCACCTGATCATACTTGCATAGGGACAATGTCAATCAGAGAGTGTTTTTAGAGTGAGCGAGAGGCTGTTTTTATCAAATGTGATTATGAAAAAATTTAATTATTACATTTTTACCATTAGAAGCTGGTTAGGTTTACAGACTGCTGCCACACATCTCTGTTTAAACCCCCTGTGAAAGTGATTTTTGCATAAAAGGTCCCCTTTAAAATATATAAAACTTTCAGATCCTCACAGTTATTGATGGTAATCTGATACCTTGTGATAATTTCCAGAATTATCTGACAAACCATATTTACCACTCACTGTTATTAATGTTCATAACACCATTAGGAACTGCTGTGGAAGAGCTGAAATTAGGATATAGTAATAGCCATTTGGTTTCTAACAGACTGTAAGTGATCAACCATTCACAATAGCAAATTAACTGACCAATCAGAGTAGAGTTGCCTTTGGGGTTTAGCGATGTGGGTTTTTTTAAGATGTTGGATGAAAAGAGCTGATGCAGCAGTGTACATTATGACGAAATAAATATTTTTTAACCTTGAGTGGATGTAAATCTAATGTAGGAGAACAAAACCTAGTAACCCATTCTGTGCTGTTGTGACAGGGACAAGGCTCCTGGGCAGCGGGAGTGTGACCAGTCCATCGACAGCATCAATAAGAGCATCAGGGACATCGAGCAAGTCTCTCTTGCTGCCGTGGGTCAGAGTTTGCCACGCAGAGATGACATTTCCCTGGAGGTAACCAATAAAATCATGTCTGTGTCAGTACCTGCCCTCTTTTCGTTACAGGTGCTCTGGAACAGGGTTGCTTTTATGTCTGCAACAGCTCGTCGTGATGGCAAGGATGATAAATCTATTAATAAATCTATTAAGGACTTGGAATGCTGCTTAACAAATAAAAACAATATAAATAAAAAGGAATGTACTGATTAAATTAATACAAATTAATAAAGTTATCAGTCTATTTATTAAAAAACGTGAAACTTTTCATCGTAACAAACATTTTTAAGGAAACTATTTAATTTGTTGAAGATTTTATTTAAATATTTAAACAACAGTTTGTCACGTCACACGTGAGAGCATCTAAATAATATTTGTTTAAAACATGCTAGATTAAATTTATATTATTTATAATATTCATTAGATTTATAGAAGCAATATCACACAAGTAGCAGTGCAATATGGCTGTATATTGGCACTGCTGGGTGGTTTACGATCAACCCAAGCTCATTCTCAAAACGTAGTTTTCTGGAGACCGCGAAATACGTCCCGGGAGGTACGTATGGCTGCATTTCTTTTTTTTAAGCGAACGCTACGGGGGGGTGAGACGCCCTTCCCTTTCGAGCTTGCCAGCTGACCGCTTACTTCCGTGTGGAGAGCTTTCCTGCCGCAATCAATTTGTTCGGTCAGCTCATCGTGTGTGTCGGCGGACTTCAGATGCAGAGAGGAGGAGTTGACAAAGGCGTCCGGGTTCGAGTCCGGGGAAGAGCGGTTCCAGAAATCAGACAAGACAAAAACATAATCCAAAAAATAAAGCGAACGAGTTCATAACAGGGTGAGAGCGTGGTAAAATCCGAAAAAGTGGTAAAAAAAAAAAAAACAGACGAGGGCTTTTCTTTTTCTAGACAGCTTTTCTAAATTGTTGCTCGGGTTTAGGGAAGTGAGCGGGCGGGCGGGTCAATCGGTAAAACTGGTTGTGTTCAGGGAAGACAGAGGGTGGGTCAGCCGATTGGCCGGTCGCGCAGTGAATCATTTGGTAAGTCAGACAGTGCCTCTGGTGGGTTGACGCGAGAACAGCGCGGGCGCGAACGGCACTCACGAGAGACGTTCGAGATATGAAAAAGTGCACACAGCGGCCTCTCGCGGATTCACGAAAACAAAAACTGCACAAATACGTACCTCCCGGGACATATTTCGCGGTCTCCAGAAACGTTTTCAGAATGAGCCTGGGTTGTTTACATTGGCTCGAGGCCGCAGGCTGAGTGCCTTTAGTGTCCCACCAGTGCCGGTATACAGCCGTATCACATTGCTACGAGTGTAATATTGCGTTTATACAACAGTTCGATGGCATAATCATGTGTATAAAAAAGAAAATCAAACACGGAGAGTCTTAAAACCCTTTAGTATAAGGAACTTTCTTCCACCATTTATTTACATCTGCAGCTGACGTCAGAACAGCAATAACCGTTGCTACTTCACAAACATCGCTTTAGAGCTAGCATTTGAACGATTCTCTAGCGTAATGTCTAAAGTGATAACAAAACAGGTAATTTGGCTCACATTTTAAGATTATAAAGCTGAACGGCATGAAATGCCATCAGTCTACAGAGATCTCCCGGTATTTCTCTGTTGCAATCAGGAGATCACAATAATTAACCCCGAAAAAGCCAAAGCAAAGCAAACACTACCAGATTGCTATGGTATAAATACAGCACTACTAAATACAAAAGAGAGAGATCAACTTAGATTGTCACTTACCTGTTCTGTAATGTGTTCAGCTGTAGTTTGAAATGTATGCTGAGAAAATGCTGTAGTTCTCCTTTAAGGGCTTATGCCCCATTCACACGGGGCGTCGGCGTCAACGCTTCCCATTCACTTTGAATAGGTGACGTCAGGCGTTGTCGAACTGCATTGTGGATCCGTCGGCACCACTTCAGAGATGTTGCTCGCTGCAGAAGTTGGGACTAGCTCAACTTTTCAAGCGCCGTAGGAAGCGTCAGCCAATCAGATCGCTGTATGCAAATACACCAGCTAGACAGTGGCCTATTGCTGACTGAATTTCATTGGCTGATGCTTCTATGACGATCGTTTCAGCCCCAACTTCAGACACGCCTTCAGTCAAGCGTTGACGCTGAAGCCCCGTGTGAATGGAGCGTTATTGTGCATCTTTGTCGCCATCTTTTAGCGGAGTGTCAGCCATCTTTGCTCTGCTCAGTATGACAGGCTAATGGCTGCCGAAGCACTGAATCTCTAAAATTATAAACATTCAAAACAGGCACTATCCTTTTAAATAAACTGCATTGTTTCTATTTAAACAAGTACATGACTATATATATTTAAACAAATTGACTATGAATATATAGTCAAGCCCAAAGTTATTCATATTTATAGTGATGTTCTTACTTTACATGCTGAACTTACAGTGAACTCAAAAACAACAATCTGTTTTATTTTTAAGTGGCATCTACTTTTTTCCATTTAATTCATTCTGAAGTTTTTATTGATAAGAATCAGTTATTTCAGAATAATTTGCAACCTTTTATAGTATTTATTTTGTAAGTTTTGTAAATAATTTTTCAGTTTTTAATTTATCTTTAATAATTTCAGTACTTTACCATTTTAATTGCCGTTTGTTGACTTTAAAATGTATTGTAATAGATATATTTAATTTATTCCACCTTTTTTGCCATATACCAGATTTACCATATACCCTGTTTCATTTTGGCCATTATTAAACGTATATCTAAGCTTTTTTAGTATGATTGTAAAAAAAGATCATTTTGTTTCTTTGTTGTATGATGCCATTTTAGTATCACTGTAGTTTTTATTCCACTAATAGAATCAAAAATGTCTACCTGTAATGGTTTACAATTCAGTACTGTGCCTTTAAGAATATGTAAATAACATCTGTTTTGATTGGATTTTCTCCAAGCATTGCTTACATTGCTGTTTATCACATTGGATCAAATTGTTGAAAGCTGGTGTTGCTATGAAATTCAGGCGTTACAGGAGCTGCTGACGTCTGCCGTGCAGGAAATCGGCCACCTCATCGACCCCATATCCACAGCAGCACGAGGCGAAGCAGCTCAACTCGGACACAAGGTAAAAATACAATGTACTCTAAAGGAAATAATGCCACAGGAAGCTCATGAAGACACTGTTGCATAAAGATAAACAACATTCATCGATCATTTTGCCACTTTTATCTTTGCCATGATGTCAACACAATATTTGACTAGATATTATTCAAGATATTAGTATTCAGCTTAAAGTGCAATTTAAAAGTTGAACTAGGTTAATTAGGCTAATTAGGCAAATCTTCGTATAGGTATGGATGTTCTGTAGACAATCGAAAACAAGTATTGCTTTAGGGGGCTAATAATATTGAATTAAAATGCTCTTTAAAAAAATTAAAACTGCTTTTATTCGAGCCGAAATAAAACAAATAAGACTTTCTCCAGAAGAAAAAATGTTATAGGAAATACTGTGAAAAATTCCTTGCTCTGTCATTTGGGAAATATTTAAAAAGAAAACAAAATTCACAGGAGGGCTAATAATTTTGACTTTATATGCAAAATAAGAGTTCAGTACATAGAGATGATATACAATGAGCCTTTGTTTCCTAATTCTCATGTAAATGCTGTGAGTGTAAAATCCCAGTGAAAATCTGCCCAATTTGAACAAAACACGCCTTAATATGTACGCCCCAGGCAGCGTTTAATTGGCCACAATGTTTTTTAGTGAAATTACAACAATATCGTTTTCCTTATTTTTATTGTTATCCAAGCTTGTATTAAACATACAATGTATGTGGGACTCTTATTTTGAAAATGAGAGAGTCAGGGAGACTAAAAAAGGGGCACAGATTGTCAGAATGCAAAATGCAGGATATACAGATTAAAAATGTATTCAGCACCACCCATATTATTACTTTAAATTTATCTTTTGTTAGTTTAACGGGTATATTGTGATATTTATTATTATTATTATTATTATTATTATTATTATTATTGTGGTTCTAAATAAGTAAATAAAGCTCTTTCTGGGGCAAAACATATTTACCTTAACTACTTGATGGGCCACAATGTTTCCTAGCGAGATGACAACAATGTTGTTGTAACAAAAATGTATTCAGCACCACCCATAAGACATAAGGTTGGTTGAAATGTATTTTTTGTTAGTTTAGCATGTATATTGTGAAATTTGCCATGAAAATGGTCAAATAGTGTTAGCCACAAATAGTAGGGTCATAATCTTAAAGGGATAGTTCATGCAAAAAAATAAAAAGTCATTTTGTCATCATTTACTTGTTCCAAACCTTTATGAGTTTCTTTCCTCTGTTAAACGCAATTTAATGTATTTTGAAGAACATTGGAAACCTGTAACCATTGACTTCCAAAGTATTAGTCTTTTCCTATAATTTATATGCAAAATGCAGGATATACAGATTAGTAATGCATTGAACACCGACATAACATTGCTTTTAATGTATTTTTTGTTAGTTTAATGTGTATATTATGACATTTTCCATGAATATGTTCAAATAGTGTTAGCATTAACCACAAATAGTGGGGTCTTAAAGGTATAGTTCATGCAAAAAATTCAATTGCCCTATAATATATATGCAAAATGCAGGATATACAGATTAAAAATGTATTCAGTGCCACCCATAAGACATAAGGTTGGTTAAAATGTATCATTTGGCAGTTTAATGTGTATATTGTGAAATTTGCCATGAATATGGACAAATATGATCAAAACAAAGCATGTTATTAAATGGGTTGTGGTTAAATGTGAGCATTTAAAACTCTTTCTAGAAAAAATTAACTTACCTAAGCCACATACCTACTATGTAGATATCAGAGAACAACTTATCTTATACAACTTATATTAAATCAGTCAAGTCTATGGGACTTTTAAGAATGAAAATAGAGCACTGGAAAGCACATATCTAGACCTCACTCCTGGCGGCATCAAAATATTTAAAGGGTACACTACCGCAAAGATATATTTAAACCCATAAACAAAGTATGAGAAATACTGTATATCAGAGCATTCACACAGACATCAATGTCAAAAATGGACCTAACAGTGCAGTACATACTTGATTTTGCTTAAATGTTGAAGGTAATTTACACAAAAACAAACCTTTCCTGCATCAATAACCTTTATTTTCTTCATATGTCCATATATTACATATTTTTAGTGTGAATCACACTTGAATATGCGGAATAAACATCATGAATTGATTACAAAATCACATCACAATTTTTTTAATAAATCAGTTTTGTTTGTTTGGACCTAGATTAATGCCTCCCGCCTAAAGTGTTTGCAAGCTTGTCTGTCAAATAAATAGCTGAAAAACAAAGCAGTCATATCAGTTCCCTCAACACATCACTCTTGTCAGAAATATACACAGGAAACAGTATGTTTGAGTGCCAGATATTTACAAAATCCCCTTTTTTTCTGCAGGTGACTCAGTTAGCCAGCTACTTCGAGCCGGTGATTGTGGCGTCAGTAGGACTGGCGTCTAAACACGCGGACCACCAGCAGCAGATGAACATACTGGACCAAACCAAAACGCTGTTTGAGTCTGCTCTACAGATGCTGTATGCTGCCAAAGAGGGCGGAGGAAACCCAAAGGTACGACACATGACATTACATAAACTATTTATGTTGCATATTCACAGAACAAGCACTAACACTGGCCCTTTTGCTGACATATAGGCATTTGTAGCTCCGCCCTCTTTTGAAAGATCTGATTTGAATTTAAAACGACTGTCACCAAATATGGCACAATTATAATCAAACCCTACGAGGGGCAGCTTCAAAGAGTTATAAAACGTTATTTGAGGGGTATTTTGAGCTGGAAGTTCACGTCAAGCACGATAACTATAAATATAGCCATAAATTTATTAGCATCCACAATAATGATCGTTAACATCCATTAATGTTCTCTTTCTTGTTTTAGGCGACGCACACTCATGATGCCATTTCCGAAGCGGCCCAGCTGATGAAGGAGGCAGTCGATGACATCATGGTGACCCTGAATGAAGCGGCTAGTGAGGGCGGGATGGTGGGCGGCATGGTGGAGTCCATCGCTGAGTCCATTGGACGGGTGAGTGACTCTAATCTATATATATATATATATATATATTGCAAATATCAAGCACAAGATGACAATTATATATCATATTTATGATTTTTTTAAATGTTTGTAAGCATCCATATATATATATATATATATATATATATATATATATATATATATATACAGTAAATATTATTATTATTTTTATTATTGTTGTTAATATTTGTAAATAAATATATATGGATGGATGGATGGACGGATGGATGGACATTAAATAAATAAAATAATAAATAACATTAAATAATATTATAATATTAAATAAATATTTATATATTTGTGTGTGTGTGTGTGTGTGTGTGTGTGTGTGTGTGTGTGTGTGTGTGTGTGTGTGTGTGTGTGTGTGTGTGTGTGTGTGTGTGTGTGTGTTTATATATAATATATTTATTATAGAAATATTTTTTCATGTGTTATACTTATTAACGGTAAAGTCTGATCTTATTTATGCATTTATTTGTTTGTGGTTTTATTGTATTTATTTTTTAATGTTGCTTTGTCCATGAACCTATTTTTTCTATTGTATAATAATATTGATTATATTAATTCAGATTAATATTAAATATGTAAAAATTAGGACAATCTGACCAACACCATATATATATATATATATATATATATATATATATATATATATGTATTTTATTTATTGATGTTAAAAATCTTATTTATGTTCATAGATATTTACATTAGATGTCGCCTACCCTGTTGTTGTCTACTGGAAGGAATGCGTTAGTAGAGCTGCCGTTTTAGTACAGGGTAGCGCTCCTTTGAAATGAATATGAGACCAAGGTGCAGTGGAGGACTGCATCCATCCGGAGCCATAGATTTGTAAACATTTATAGATATATTTATGATTTATTGCCGGTGGTCAATAATTTTATTTTCATATATATATATATATATATATATATATATATATATATATATATATATACAACAGTTCTGTCTGGATTATGAATCTGATTGGCTGATAGCTGTGATATATTTAAGTAATATCAGCATCTGTACAGCCTCTTTACCCTTTGTGTATTACTCCGCCCACATACAGCCAGCAACAAGCAGACACTACAGTTTGACAAATATTACTGCGGTTAGACAACAAAATATACTTTTCAGGCGTTTTTAGTCGAGAATGTAGTTGTTTACATTGCAACTATGCAGTTTATTTGCAAGAATAGTGCCTATTTTAAAATAATTACAATTTCGGAGAGCTCGTCGGTGGAGGTTAACGTTGTCTATCCACAAGTTGGCGCCAGAACTGCATAATAAGCCCTTGCTCAGTGTGTTCTCTGAGCGCGAATAAAAAGCTGAAAAACGGAAGCCTCGTGGTTTTTAAGGTGGACCGGATAGAGTCAATTAGAAACTGCGAATAAGAAGCTGGATTCAGCCTTGTCCCTCCTTATCGCAAACACAACAGCAGTCTGGTGAGAAATCTCTGTAGACGGATGGCATTTCATGTCACGTTCAGCCTTATAATCTTAAAATGTGAGCAAAATTAGCTGTTTTGCCTGCGGCCTCATGCCAACGCACGCCTCCCACCAGTGCTGATTTACAGCCATAGCACACTGCTACTCGTGTGATATTACTCATATATATGATTTATGTCTATTTTGACCATGAAAACAGCCATTGTTGCTGATATGGCATTAAATAAAAATAAATGATATGATATGTTAGACTTATTATTTCAGTTTCTGTTTTTGATTTATAATTTTCATTTTTATTTATTTATTTATTTGTCTTAGAAATCTGTCAAACGCTTTCTAATCAGAGTCATGTCTAGCTGGCGCTCTCATATGTAAATGTGTGACAGATACTACAGCTGTCTCTGTAGCTCATTATTAGCCTGAATTGGCACAACATCTCCATTTATCATCTGTGGATGCAGCCAGTCTTTCATTATACTGTCATGATTCACAGTGCAAGACAATGGCAGCCAATTGAAAATCTGCACGGTGATCATTTTGTGCTGGAACCTCA